CTTGGAAGGTGCTGAACAGACTGCGCTCTGGCACCACGAGATGCAGAGCCAACCTTAAGAAATGGGGCTACAAAGTGGAATCCACGACATGCGAGTGTGGAGAAGAGCAAACCACAGACCACCTGCTGCAATGCAACCTGAGCCCTGCTACATGCACAATGGAGGACCTTCTTGCAGCAACACCAGAGGCACTCCAAGTGGCCAGATACTGGTCAAAGGACATTTAATCAACTACCAAGCTTGCAAACTTTGTGTTTTGTCTGTTTGTCTGTTTGTTTTGTTAAAAAGGAATACAAATGTCTGGTTGCTCCTGACACGATAAATAAATAAATCTATCTATCTGCTTTTCTGACTATCTACCTTGTCTGTCTATCAATCTGCCTATCTATCTTGTCTGTCGGTCTGCTTACCTATCTTATCTATCTGCCTATCTATTTGTCTGTGTCTAATCTATCTGATTATCTATCTTATCTATCTATCTATCATCTATCTATCTATCTATCTATCTATCTATCTATCTATCTATCTATCTATCTTTCTTTTTTTCTGACTGTCTCTCTGCCTATCACATCTAATCCATTTATCTATCTGTCTATTTATCTAATCAGGCTGCATATCTGCCTATCTAATTTACTGATCAATCTATCTGGCCTCTGTCTTATCTATCTATCCGCCTTTCTGTCTGTCTGTCTGCTTATCTATCTGCCTGTCTATTTGTCTGTCTAATCTATGTGCCTATCTATCTTATCTATCTTATCTATTATTTTCTATCGCATTATGTATCTATCTATCTATCTATCTATCTATCTATCTATCTATCTATCTATCTATCTATCTCTTATCTCTCTCTCTCATCCATATGCCTATCCATATGCCTATCTATCTGTCTGTCTGTCTATCTATTTATCTTATCTATATATCTGACTGTCTCTCTGCCTATCTGCCTATCATATTTAATCTATTTATCTATCTGCCTATTTATCTAATCTATCTGCATATCTGCCTGATCAATCTATCTGCCTCTGTGTCTACCTTGGGAAGTCTGACTTGGCCACGGTAGTCCACGCTCTAGTTACATCCCGTATAGACTACTGCAATGCTCTCTACGTGGAGTTGCCTTTGAAGATGGTCTGGAAATTTCAACTAGTCCAACGAACGGCAGCCAGGTTGTTAACAGGAGTGGCACTCAGGGAGCATACAACCCCCTTGTTGCGCCAGCTCCACTGGCTGCCAGTTTGCTACCGGGCCCAATTCAAAGTGCTGGCTTTGGCCTATAAAGCCCTAAACAGTTCTAGTCCAACTTACCTGTCCGAACGTATCTCCCCTTATGAACCACGGAGGACTTTAAGATCATCTGGGGAGGCCCTGCTCTCGGTCCTGACTTCTTCACAAGCACGTTTGGCGGGGACAAGAGACAGGGCTTTCTCAGTGGTGGCCCCCTCGGCTATGATCAGATCTGCTCCCTCCCTCTTGACGTTTTGGAGGCAAGTTAAAACGTGGCTATTCGAGCAAGCGTTTACAAATACAGAGTAGCTAATATAGGAAATCGAATGACCTGACAATGGAATTGGACAATGCTTGAGAATAATGAGACACTGATGATGTTGCTTTTATTTCTTTTGTGATGTCTTATATTGTTTAATGTTTTTTATCTATATTATCTTTTATGTATACTGATTTGTTGGAAACCGCCTTGAGTCACCAATTGGCTGAGAAAGGCGGTATACAAATACAGTAAATAACAAATATGTCTTATCTATCTATCCGCCTTTCTATCTGTCTGTCTATCTGCCTATCTATCTTACCTATCTGTCTATCTGTTGACCATTTCCGCTCCCTTGGCAGCCACCTCTCCACCAAAGTCAACATCGACACTGAAATACAACACTGCCTGAGCTCTGCGAGTGCAGCATTTTTCCGAATGAAGCAGAGTGTTTGAGGACCAGGACATCCGTAGGGATACCAAGGTGCTTGTCTATAAAGCTATTGTCCTCCCAACCCTGCTATACGCCTGCGAAACGTGGACTGTCTACAGACGTCACATGCAACTCCTGGAACAATTCCATCAGCGCTGCCTCCGGAAAATCCTGCAAATCTCTTGGGAAGACAAGCGGACAAACGTCAGCGTGCTGGAAGAAGCAAAGACCGCCAGCATTGAAGTGATGGTCCTCTGCCATCAACTCCGCTGGACTGGCCACGTTGTCCGGATGCCCGACCACCGTCTCCCAAAGCAGTTGCTCTACTCTGAACTCAAGAACGGAAAATGGAACGTTGGTGGGCAGGAAAAGAGATTTAAAGATGGGCTCAAAGCCAACCTTAAAATCTCTGGCATAGACACTGAGAACTGGGAAGCCCTGGCCCTTGAGCACTGCAGCTGGAGGTCAGCTGTGACCAGCAGTGCTGCAGAATTCGGGGAGGCACAAGTGGAGGGTGAAAGAGAGAAACGTGCCAAGAGGAAGGCGCGCCAAGCCAAGCCCGACCGGGACTGCCTTCCACCTGGAAGCCGATGTCCTCACTGCGGGAGAACTTGCATATCAAGAATAGGGCTCCACAGCCACCTACAGACTCACAAGAATACTGATCCTGGAAGACTATCCTACTCGGCCAACAAGGGATCGCCTAAGTAAGTAAGTAAGTACTCAATCTGCCTATCTATCTTGTCTGTCTGTCTGCTTATCTATCTTATCTATCTGCCTATTTGTCTGTCTGTCTAATCTATCTGCCTATCTATCTTATCTATCTATGAATCTATCTGCTTATCTGTCTGTCTATCCATATGCCCATCTATCTATCTATTTAACTTATCTATATATCTGACTGTCTCTCTGCCTATCATATCTAATATATTTATCTATCTGCCTTTCTATTTATCTAATCTATCTGCATCTAATTTACTGATCTATCTATCTATCTGCCTATCTAATTTACTGATCTATCTATCTATCTATCTATCTATCTATCTAATTAACTGATTGATCAGTCTATCTATCTATCTAATTTACCGATCTATCTATCTATCTATCTGCCTATCTAATTTACTGATCTATCTATCTATCTGTCTATGTATCTAATTTAGTGATCTATCTATCTGCCTATCTAATTTCCTGATCAATCAATTTATCTATCTGCCTATCTAATTTACTGATCGATCAATCTATCTATCTGCCTATCTAATTTATTGATCAATCTATCTATCTATCTGCCTATCTAATTTACTGATCAATCAATCTATCTATCTGCCTATCTAATGTACTGATCTATCTATCTATCTATCTATCTATCTATCTATCTATCTATCTATCTATCTATCTACTGCCTATCTAATTTACTATCTATCTGTCTGTCTATCTATCTATCTATCTATCTATCTATCTATCTATCTGCCTATCTAATGTACTGATCAATCAATCTATCTATCTGCCTATCTAATTTACTGATCAATCAATCAATCTATCTGCCTATCTAATGTACTGTCTATCTATCTATCTATCTATCTATCTATCTATCTATCTATCTATCTATCTATCTGCCTATCTAATTTACTGATCAATCTATCTGTCTGTCTGTCTATCTATCTATCTATCTGCCTATCTAATGAACTGATCAATCTATCTATCTGCCTATCTAATGTACTGATCAATCAATCTATCTATCTGCCTATCTAATTTACTGATCAATCAATCAATCTATCTGCCTATCTAATGTACTGATCTATCTATCTATCTATCTATCTATCTATCTATCTGCCTATCTAATTTACTGATCAATCTATCTGTCTGTCTGTCTATCTATCTATCTATCTGCCTATCTAATGAACTGATCAATCTATCTATCTGCCTATCTAATTTCCTGATCTATCTATCTATCTATCTATCTGCCTATCTAATGAACTGATCAATCAATCTATCTATCTGCCTATCTAATTTCCTGATCAATCAATCTATCTATCTATCTATCTGCCTATCTAATGTACTGATCAATCAATCAATCTATCTGTCTATCTAATGTACTGATCAATCTATCTATCTATCTATCTATCTATCTGCCTATCTAATTTACTGATCAATCAATCTATCTATCTGCCTATCTAATGTACTGATCTATCTATCTATCTATCTATCTATCTATCTATCTGCCTATCTAATTTACTGATCAATCTATCTGTCTATCTATCTATCTATCTGCCTATCTAATGAACTGATCAATCTATCTATCTGCCTATCTAATTTCCTGATCTATCTATCTATCTATCTATCTATCTATCTATCTATCTATCTATCTATCTATCTATCTATCTATCTGCCTATCTAATTTCCTGATCTATCTATCTATCTATCTATCTATCTATCTATCTATCTATCTATCTATCTATCTATCTATCTATCTATCTATCTGCCTATCTATGTACTGATCAATCAATCAATCTATCTGCCTATCTAATGTACTGATCAATCAATCAATCTATATGCCTATCTTATGTAATGAACTGATCAATCTATCTATCTGCCTATCTAATTTCCTGATCTATCTATCTATCTATCTATCTATCTATCTATCTATCTATCTATCTATCTATCTATCTATCTATCTATCTATCTATCTATCTATCTGCCTATCTAATGTACTGATCAATCAATCAATCTATATGCCTATCTAATTTCCTGATCAATCTATCTGCCTCTGTGACTATATGTCTTATCTATCTGTCTGTCTGTCTATCTATCTTTCTATCTTACCTATCTGTCTATTAGTCTAGTAAGTATTCCCCTCTCTGTCTGCCTCTCTCTCTGGTTCTCTGCCTAGCTATCTCTCTCCCCCCCCCCCCCTTTCCTTTCCCGGGACCTGGGCGGCGTGTGGGCGGGGCTTCGCTGCGGCTAGCCAATGAGGAGCGCGGGCAGGGCTGGCTGCCCGGGGAGCGGCGCCTTCTTAAAGGGCCAGCCCAGGCGAGGCAAGGCTCAGCAAGGCAAGACTCTTTCCTCGACAGCATCGTCTCCCTCTCTCTCTCTCTCTCTCTCCGTGTGTCTCTCCAGCATCGGTCGGGATGTCTGCGGCGCTGAACGGGACCCTGGCGAACGGGCAGCCCGAGAGGGAGGCGGCCCCGCCCCTGCCCTTGCCCCGCCCCCTCCGCAGCCTCCAGGTCCGCTTCACTCAGGTAAGCTTCTAGTCCTCAAGACCCCAAATTTGCCCTCCATGCCTTTGGACTTCCCAGATTTTCCAAACTGAAGAAGACTTAGAATAAGACTTGTGGCATCCACATTAATGCAGTTGGATCAAGCTCCTAGTCCTCAAGACCAAGCTCCTAGATGACCCCACTCATAGAGTTGGGTCATCTAGTCCAACCCCCTTTCTGCCTTTGAGGAAAAGTAAAAAAAGGTAGAAGGTTGTCCCCTGACATTAAGTCCAGTTGTGTTCAACTCTGGAGGTAGGTGCTCATCTCCAATTCGAAGCCGAAGAGCCGGCGTTGTCCGTAGACACCTCCAAGGTCGTGTGGACTGCATGGAGCGCCGTTAACCTTCCTATTGATCTACTCCAGTGGTTCTCAACACAACTCTGGAAGTAGGTGATCATCATTTCGAAGCCGAAGAGCCGGCGTTGTCTATAGACACCTCCAAGGTCATGTGGACTGCATGGAGCGCCGTTAACCTTCCTATTGATCTACTCCAGTGGTTCTCAAGCTTCCTAATGCCCCGACCCCTGTGCCGGCAAGACTGACAGGTCGCATCTTCGAATCCGGGGAGAGGCGGATGAGCTCCCTCTATCAGCTCCAGCTCCTCATACAGGGACATGAGAGAAGCCTCCCACAAGGGTTGGGTCATCTAGTCCAACCCCCTTTTGCCTTTCAGGAAAAGTAAAAAAGTGGAAGGTTTTCCCTTGACATTAAGTCCAGTTGTGTTCAACTCTGGAGGTAGGTGCTCATCTCCATTTCAAAAGCCGAAGAGCCGGCGTTGTCCGTAGACACCTCCAAGGTCATGTGGACTGCATGACTGTCTCCTTAGTAAGACTTGCAAATGCTGATTTATTATCAGTGGGTTAAACCCCTGTGCCGGCAGGACTGAAGACCGACAGGTCGCATGTTCGAATCCGGGGAGAGGCGGATGAGCTCCCTCTATCAGCTCCAGCTCCTCATGGGACATGAGAGAAGCCTCCCAACAAGGATGGTAAAAAACATCCGATCATCCGGGCAATGTCCTCCGGGCAACGTCCTTGCAGACGGGCAATTCTCTCACACCAGAAGCGACTTGCAATTCCTCCAGTCGCTCCTGACACGACTAAAATAATAATAATAGTTACCAATTCTAGAGCTCTTTAAACTCTAAACTCTAAAATTACAAGAGCACAACAACAGAGAGGAAACAAACAAGGACATCTAATCACCTCTCAACAAAAGTTTGCCCCAGGCACTGCCAGGCCATCAAATGCTAATCAAGGTGATCAGTTGAAACATTCACACCTAGCTCCAGCAGACAAGAGTCCTTTGTCCCACCCTGGTCATTCCACAGATATATAAACCCTTTTTCCTAGTTCCAACAGACCTCGCTACCTCTGAGGATGCTTGCCATAGATGCAGGCGAAACGTCAGGAGAAAATGCCTCTACAACATGGCCATATAGCCCGAAAAAACCTACAACAACCCAGTGATTCTGGCCACTTCATAACTATTTGCTACTGTTTATGAATCATAATGTAAATATCTATGCAGATGTATTTTCATCCACTGGACCAAATTTGGCACAAATACCCAATATGCCCAAATTTGAATACTGGTGGGGTTGTGGGGGGGGGGGGGGAGGATTGATTTTGTCATTTGGGAGTTGTAGTTGCTGGGATTTTTAGTTATAAAAAAGACAAACAAAAGAACCAATGAATGAAATCACACCAAATTTGGCAACAAAACGTCTCACACCACAAGGAGTGACCATCACTCAAAAAATTATGATTTTGTCATTTGGGAGTTGTAGTTGCTGGGATTTATACTTCACCTACAATCAAAGAGCATTCTGAACTCCATCAATGATGGAATTGAACCAAACTTGGCACACAGAACTCCCATGACCAACAGAAAATACTGGAAGGGTTTGGTGGGCATTGACCTTGAGTTTGGGAGTTGTAGTTCACCTACATCCAGAGAGCACTGTGGACTCAAACAGTGATAGATCTGGACCAAACTTGGCACGACTACTCAATATGCCCAAATATGATCCCTGGTGGATTTGGGGAGAAATAGACTTGACATTTAGGAGTTGTAATTCCTGGGATTTATAGTTTACCTACAATCAAAGAGCATTCTGAACTCCGCCATCAATGGAATTGAACCAAACTTGGCACACAGAACTCCCATGACCATGGAAGGGTTTGGTGGGCATTGACCTTGAGTTTTGGAGTTGTAGTTCACCTACATCCAGAGCGCACTGTTGACTCAAACAATGATAGATCTGGACCAAACTTGGCACAAATACTCAATATGCCCAAATGTGAACACTGGTGGAGTTTGGGGAAAATACACCTTCACATTTGGGAGTTGTAGTTGCTGGAATTTATAGTTCACCTGCAATCAAAGAGCATTCTGAAGCCCACCAATTGATCTACTCACATTTGCATGTTTTCGAACTGCTTGGTTGGCAGAAGCTAGGGCTGACAGCGGAAGCTCACGCCGCTCCCCGGAATCAAACCTGCGACCTTTCGGTCAACAAGCTCAGCAGCTCAGCGCTTTAGCCCACTGCGCCTCCGGGGACTCGGGAAAAGTAAAACCCAAGTAAGATCAAGCTTCTAGTCCTCATACTAAGCTTCAGGTTATAGAATCCTAGAGTTGGAAGAGACCTCATGGGCCATCCAGTCCAGCCCCATTCTGCCAAGAAGCAGGACAGTTCCATCTAGTCCGACCCTGTTCTGCCATTTGGGAAAAGCACTGCCCAAGTAAGACCAAGCTCCTAGTCCTCAAGACTAAGCCTAGAAAAGATGAAATAATATGAAGATAGGAATTAGAAGGAATCTGGCATGTAATAACAACAATAATAAAAAGAGTAAAATAATGAATGTAGCACTAACAACAATTATACAGTAAAATAATAAATGTATAATTGGAGAGTAAAATGATAAATGTAATAATAATAAATAGAATAAAATAATGAATGAAAATAATAATAACAATAACAGAGTAAAATAATGAATGTAGCACTAACAACAATTATACAGTAAAATAATAAATGTATAGTAATAGAGTAAAATAATAAATGTAATAATAATAAATAGAATAAAATGCAATAATAATAATAAAAAGAGTAAAATAATGAATGTAGCAATAACAATTATACAGTAAAATAATAAATGTATAATAATAGAGTAAAATGATAAATGTAATAATAATAATAAATAGAATAAAATAATAAATGAAATGAAAATAATAATAATAACAGAGTAAAATAATGAATGTAGCAATGACAACAATTATACAGTAAAATAATAAATGTATAATAATAGAGTAAAATGATAACTGTAATAATAATAAATAGAATAAAATAATAAATGAAATAAAATAATAATAATAGAGTAAAATAATGAATGTAGCAATAACAACAATTATACAGTAAAATAATAAATGTATAATAATAGAGTAAATTGATAAATGTAATAAGAATAAATAGAATAAAATAATAAATGAAATGAAAATAATAACAGTAACAGAGTAAAATAATGAATGTCGCAATAACAACAATTATACAGTAAAATAATAAATGTATAATAATAGAGTAAAATGATAAATGTAATAAGAATAAATAGAATAAAATAATACATGAAATCAAAATAATAATAATAACAATAACAGAGTAAAATAACAATTATGCAGTAAAATAGTAAATGTATAATAATAGAGTAAAATGATAAATGTGATAATAATAAATAGAATAAAATAATAAATGAAATGAAAATAATAACAGTAACGGAGTAAAATAATGAATGTAGCAATAACAACAATTATACAGTAAAATAATAAATGCATAATAATAGAGTAAAATGATAACTGTAATAATAATAAATAGAATAAAATAATGAATGAAATGAAAATAATAATAATAACAATAAGAGAGTAAAGTAATGAATGTAGCAATAGCAACAATTATACAGTAAAATAATAAATGTATAATAATAGAGTAAAATGATAAATGCAATCATAATAAATAGAATAAAATAATGAAATGAAAATAATAATAACAGAGTAAAATAATAAATAACCTTGATTCGAGTATAAGCTGAGGGAGACTTTTTCAGCCTAAAAAAAGGGCTGAAAAACTAGGCTTATACTCGAATATATACAGTAGTAATAATTCATATTATAGATTCATAAAATATCTGTCGTAGATGTGGGCGAAATGTCAGGAGAGAATGGATAAGTATAATAACCCCACAATGGAAATACTATCCTTTTATTTCAAACATGTGCTCGTTTTCTGCATCTTGAGGCCAACAAAAAGACAACTTTGGAAAGACCTCAATTTATTGGGAAACCAGATTGATGGATCCCATTATGTATTATCTTTCATCCCAAATATATAGCTTAGGAAGGGCTGTTAATGCAAAACAAATACTTAGTAGACACACTTTTAATTAAAGGAGCAAAAAGGGCACATTATCCATGCAGGGCCCGACATTCATCCAAGGCGAAAACGCAAAGAATAATTGTTGTTATTGCTACATTCATTATTTTACTCTTTTTATTATTGTTGTCGTTATTACATTTATTGTGTTACTCTCTTTATTATTATTGGAAGGATACGTAAGCACATTTACATTGAAAAAGGTAAATAATCATTTAATCGGAGTTGGACAGTCTTATCTTAAATTACCATTTTTGTAAATATTCAAAAATATATAAACTACCGATTCCGCAATTAATATAATGTAATTGGTATCTATTTTCTATTTTGCAATTTACCCGTAGCGGCTGCATTTCCCAACCTCGGCTTATACTCGAGTCAATCCGTTTTCTCAGTTTTTTGTCGTAAAATTAGGTGCCTCGGCTTATATTCGAGTCGGCTTATACTCGAGTATAGACAGTATTATGTTTATTTATCCTCCGTATCTCCGTATTGCTTTAAGATGTCAACCTAAGTTTCCCATAAGATTCTTGTAGGTTTTTTCGGGCTATAGGGCCAT